TCCCCCCTCCCCCCATTTTGAATACTTTGCCGATTTTTGAACACGCAGGTGAAAGAATTTCAAGACTGACAACAAGGGATGCATCCTACGTGAGTAGTCCGATTTGAGAATCGAAAACTTTCCAACGAGACAGACACATCGTGTTCTTTTTATATCCAGAATGAACGAACAGATCGATCGTTTCATAAATTTTCAATTCAACGCGTTGGAATCTTACGACCGCTCGCTTCGACGATAATAAGAAAAATAATGAAATGAACAGAATAGAATCACTGGGGATTTCACCAAAAGATCTCTGAAATCTTGGCCGAGTAAAAATTCTCAGTTCGTTTCCAGTAAGTTTATTTATATATAAATAATATTTCTTTACCTACGTTAGCCCCCTTTTCCTAGCCTTTCTTTTCCAAGTACGTAATATTATCATCTATATATAATTGCACGATATTTTTTTTTTTTTTTTTTACGCCGTGTACAAGTAACGTTTGAATCGAATCGAATCGAATCGAATCGAAATGAAATGAACACAGGTTTGACGAACACGATGCCCTGTCGATTCGTTAATTCGTTCAAAATGTCCAACGTTTATTCAACGTTCATGGAATCCAAGCCCGTTCGATTTAGCTCAATGCCAGTTAGTTTCCTGAGAATGAACGACACACACAGTTCTCGAACAATTTGACCTGAATGTGTATTTCGTGGCTATTGATCTCCGATATTCTCTGGATATTCGCCTGACAGGAGATGTGAAACAACAGGATGAAGGAATAAATCATAACTTGGCAGAAGTGTCGTTTCATTAGGCATTGCATTAAAAGCTGTGCGACTGGAATCATTTGAAATGGCATTATACCAACAAGGAACTATCGAGGATCTATTGATTGTAAATTGACTTGAAATTATTTAAACAGTGGATAATTACTCGATGGTAAAAGAAATTTTTGACACTAAAAATGTATTTAGTCTGAAAATCGAATGCAAATGCTTCGACGTGGACAAAGTTTAGCTATAACATCGAAGGTGTATTAAATGGTCAAAAATGCTCAAAAATTTGGACATTTATTCCTTATTAATTGCAACAAAGAAATTCTCATGATGCGATGGTCAAAGAAATTTTTGACATTAAAAATGTATTTAGTCTGAAAATCGAATGCAAATGCTTCGACGTGGACAAA